GTTTTAATAAATTCAGTTTATTTCAATTAAACAAAATTCCAGTTTATTTCAGTTATTATCATATTGAATAAAGAATTAATTTACATAGGAATTAAAAGTAAAGTTATCATTAATTTATGAACAATTAAAATCTCATTTCTTTTCTCTTTGTTGCATTTCTTTCATTTTCCACTTAAAAAATGATTTAGTTGTTGTTTCAGTAATACAAATCTCATAGAATGAAATTTAACTCATTCAAACTAAACCAAATGATTATAAAAATTAAGACTTATTAATTGTCGTGCTTTAGTGGACGTCTTATTCTTTTCTAAATATTTCAAAGTTATCTATAAAGCATTCCTTTGGTATTTTTTCATTCTCTCTTAACACTTTACATTTATCACAACCAACAAAACACCTAACTCCAAAAGATGAAATTGTTGTTGGGATGTTAATTAATTTTAGTGATGAGCATCCATTAAAACAATAACTTCCAATTTCAGTAATTGTTGTAGGAAGAACAACACTAGTAAGTGATCTACACCCATAAAAACAACTATTTCCCATTTTAATAACTGATGATGGAATATCAATAGTATTTAATAAGCTGCACCATTCAAAACAACTATTTCCTAGTATACTAACTGAAGTTGGTATAGTGATGGACGTTAATGATATACAGTTGTAAAAACATTTATTTCCTAATCTCTTAATTGATGATGGTAAGTTAATTGATGTCAATGATGAGCATTGATAAAAAAATTTTTCTCCTAATACACTAACTGTTTTTGGTATATTGATGAATAATAATGAGGTGCAATAACTAAAACAACCATATCCCATTTGTCTAACAGACGTTGGTATATAAACACTTGTTAATGATGAACAACTTTCAAAACAATTATTTCCTATTTTACTAACTGTTCTTGGTATACTAATTTTACTTAATTCTGAACATTCATGAAAAGACTCTTTTCTTAGTTCAGTTACTGTTGTTGGTATAGCAACATTACTTAATGAAAAGCAGTTATGAAAACAGTAATATGGAATTAAACTAATTGTTGTTGGTATGTCAATTGATGTTAATGATGTACAATATTCAAAACATTTCCATCCTAGTTTAGTAATTGTAGTTGGAATAATAAATTCATTAATATCTTTCTTTTTTATCTTCGCTCCATTTATTCTTTGTATATTTTTTGGTATTTCAATACTAACTAACACTGGTTCATTCATAAATATCCTTTTTTCACTGATAAATTTGATATTGTCTATATTCATACTCGTTAACGACAAACACCAATCAAAACAATCATCCCCGAATTCTCTTAATGCCATTGGTATATTAATTCTTAACAATGAATCACACCAACTAAAACACCCATCTCCTATTTCACTAATTGTTGATGGTATATTAATTGTTGGTAATGATGAACATCCATTAAAACATCTATACCCTATTTTACTTATTGTTGTTGGTATATTAATTGATATTAATGATCTACAATATTTAAAACAATATTTTCCTATTTCACTAACTGTCGTTGGTATGTCAATTCTTGTTAATTCTTTACAATTACAAAAGCAAAAATTTCCAAGTGAATTAACTTCTGATGGTATTGTAGTTCCATACTTATCTTTATCTTTATCTGTATATTCTATATTTTTACAGATATTTCCGGATTCTTTTTCTTGTAAATATGTTGAATATTCTACTTTATACCATATTATTTTTTTAAATATTCTTCCATCATTAAATATCTCATTATTTCTATTATAAATATGAAATGTTTCAATGTTAGGAAAGAATTTTCTTGAATATTCATTTAAAGGAATTGGATTAAAATGAAATCTTTCCATATTTCCTTGAAATCTTTTAATTCCTATTTCTAAATTAATAAAATCATTAATATCATTAAAGTACATTGATGTTATCATTATTTCATTGTACCCTAATTTCATTCTTGATTGATTATTTGGTGTTGTTGTATTTTCCATTCTTATTTTATTTCAACTTTAAATATTTTTAAGATTATCATTCTATTTTATTAAAATTTAGTTAAATATTCACAAATACTTAAAAAATAACAAATAATAGATATATCCACAATTGGATTTTATGATTATTGAGAAGTGATTGTTTCAGTGAATTCAATATACTCTATTTATACAATAAAGTTCATTTCTAACATATGAGAATTAGAATGTTCCTCTTCTAATGTGTTGCCAGTGTTGAATGTGTAGAACATTAAGTCTTTCATGTTTTTTATAATGATTGTTCGTAGTATTTTGGGGGAAGTCAATTTGTAATTTTAGTGTCTTTAATCTTCTTACTGTTTCTTTATGTATTAATTTATTGTTAATATTACAGGTATTATTTCTACATAAGTTAATTCTCTACTTTGTATTAACTTCTCTTGTAATTCTTTGTATTTATTTATTTTGTAAATATAATTTAATTCTTTATTTCTATCTTGACATATATCAACATCAACAATATATCATTTTTTCTTTGATATTTTGATATATATATCTGGTATTCTAAC